TTAAAAACTTGTTCAAATCCTTTGAAGAATCTTGCAAGGTAGCTTGGCTAGACAGCAGGCAGGACAGTCCAGGGCCTCGGGTGGGGAGGCCAGGATCTGCCACTCGCCTGTCTTTTGGTCCAGCAGGTAGGCATTGGGATTGATGGTGTAGTCCTTTGCCTGAACGTTGCCGGCTGTGGTGACGCCTCCACACACGAACACCTTGTCGTCTCCGATGGAACATATGGCATGGGACACATCCAAGGGGCAGTCGTTGGGCAGGAGAGGCACCGAGGCGGTGGTCTTGTTGGCCTTGATCTTCTGCAGGTTGATTTCCACGCTCTGCCGGTGACTGTGCACACAGAGGATGTTGTCCTGCTGGAAGGACAGCAAGGGCCGGTGGTTGAACTCAATGGGGAAGGTGATGCACTGGACCACCTCCCCGGTGCTGGTGTCGAAGCAGTCCACTACCCCGACGCGGGAGATGTAGCCCTTCACCAAGCAGCGACCGGTGACGATGTACAGGTTCCGGTCGCCCTTGGTGATCACAGCCGTGCCATCCATGGGGATGCTCATCTTCCCTGCCAGGCACCAGGCCTCCTTGCGCTCGTCGTAGCGGTAGATGTTGGAGACATAGCGCCTTGGGGCGATGCTCCCGCCCACGGAGTACACGTTGCCCCCGCAGGTCGCCATGGTGTGGAAGACAAGCCCGATGGGCAGGTCAGGCAAGTTGGTCCACGAGTTGTCATCCATGTCGTATCGCCATGCTGTCTTCAGCCCTGAAATCTGTTCCGTGGTGCCACCCGAGACGTAGATGTAGCGGCCCGCAGAGGTGGCACTGAGCGCTGCCGCGCGATAGGGCATCTCCGAGAGCTTCAGCCACAGGTTCTCCTGGATGATATAGGCAAACACGCCATCGTTGAACTTGCCTTGAGCCTTCTGGCCACCGAGGATGACCACAGAGTCGAGCAGGGAGCCTTTGCGCTGGTAGCCCAGCAGGCTGCAGGGCCGCTCCTGCTTGCGGTCCACCAGGACGCTCTCGATCAGAGGGACGTGGCACGAGCTGCTCTCCATGCCCACCAGCTTGTTCCTGGCGAACACCAGCGTCTTGTTGGTGACGGCGTTGAGATTGATGTAACTGAAGAACTTCTTGAAGTACTTCTCGCGCTCCTCCCTTCGGAAGGACACCCAGTTGATGAGGGCACTGAGCGCCTGGTCCTCGTTGAGCACGTGAAGGTTTTCGTCGCGGAGCAGGCGGCCGAAGATGACAGGCGGGCAGTGCATGAAGTGCGAGGAGCCCTCGGGACCCGCCCAGTAGTGGAAGTTGTCCCGGATGCCCGAGTAGGCCAGGTCTGACACCTCCTTGAGCTCAAACAGCTCGGCCAGGAAGAGGTAGCGCAAGCAGTTGGCCCTGCGGATGGACTTGATGAGGAAGTCGTTGCAGTGAACGCGCAGGTGCGGGGTGTTGAAGTACTGGGCGCCCCGGAGCAGCTCCTCCACGTTCTGCTCCGAGATCACCACCTTGCCGCTGTAGAAGTAGTCCAGGAGCTGCTCCACCGTGGCCGCACTCAGGTAGTTGGGGTCGATGGCGATGAAGAGCTCGTCGGTGGTCTTCATGTCGTTGCTGGGCAGGAGGCTCCTCACCAGCGGGGACACCGCGGCCAGCACGTTGCGATGTGCAAAGAAGACATGGTGGTCCACGGTTAGGGCCATGTCCCAGTACTCTCTTCGTTTCCTCTGTTTGTTCAGGCTCTGGACCACAAAGTTGTTGTAGTTTTTCTCCGTGAATTCCAATTTCATGGTGCTTCTGGGCTGGCTGAGGCAGAAGAGCAGCGGCAGCTACCAGAGGACAGATTTCTGGGGCCTTCGGGATTCAGATTGATGGTGCTTGCAGAGAGTAGCTGAGCAGAGAGGAGTGGGCTGGGAGGGAGGATGATGTCATAGAGGAGATGAGGTCATCACAATGCAGGGCCCTGAGGTCTTTCTCAGAGGCCCAGGGCCCCTCCTCCCTCACATGGCTCCCATTGCCAAGGCCAAAGGTTTTGAAGGTGAACCGTTAGAGCACTGGGCGATAAGCAAAAGCTGGCAGTTGGGTGCCATCGGTCCCACACCACTGACCTGGTGTGGGACCAGGTCTGGAGGAAGGGGCCAGATGTCTGGAGGAAGCTCCCTTGAAACCCAAGTTTAAGGCTTTGCTGGACTGTCAGAGCCAACTTGGGTGGGCAGTGGGGAAGGTGGATGCAGGAGATGAGGGGAGGGGTATGAATGTTGGTGGATCATCTATATCTAGGGGAGTCCTCCCACATTCCCCGAGGGAGCCCCATGCCCTGAGAGTATAAAACAGAACTCAAAGAGAAACTGCCTCTGCTGCTTCTATTGGGCAAGCAACTCCCCTGGCAGCCCTTCCTTCAGGCATGAGGACCTTCATTTTTCTCACAGAGGTCTTCTGCTTTTCTCATATTTAAGGGAGACCCTTTAGGCAGTTCTCTCATGAGAATTTCCCCCCTCAGGGCACAATGCATGGAACCAACATAGAGAAAACTCACAGATGGGATTATAAACAAGCTGTACAGTGCCCTAACTTCCTGAGATTTGCAGGATGTGTTTTCTTCCAAGGCTAAGACAGGGTTGGCTGCTAGAATGCTGCCTTGGTTTCATTTCTGTGTTGTACCTGTATGACATCACCAGTTGCATAAAAAGGGACCTCTCCTTGGTTCAGGGCCCAGCCTAGTTTTGAGCATTTCTAATGACTGGGATGGAGCACTATTGAAGTTCCTGACAAATCCCCTTGTCTGTCTAGTTTCTTGGAAATTTTGCAAAGAGTAGACCTGACCAAGGTCATAGAGCCTGTGACAAGCTGAGCAGGGTCTGTAACCCAGGTCACCTGTGACTGAGTACTCTCTCCACCCTTCCAGGAAGCTCCTAATCCCTGTTTCCCAGTCTTTGATTCCCAGGCACCAGACTCCCTTTCTCTGCAAGACTTTTGGGCTTCTGAGAAGCAAAGCTGCACTGTGGCTTCTGATTCCCGTGGTCAAGGACAGCTTTGTTCTTCAAAGCAGGATGGAGCCCACTGGCTGCAGCACGGGTGCCAGGGAGCAGGATGGAGCCAGGCCTGAGGATGGGAGGGGCTGTACAGCTCTGAGTAGCTCAGGTCTGCAGCAATTGAACAGTGCTTCCTCATTTTGAAAGCTACACATAGTCTGGGTATGGTGGCTCATACCTATAATCCCAGTGCTGTGGAGGCTCAAAACAGGAGTGTCTTAGTTACTTTTTACTCATTGCTGGGACAAATACCCAACACTCAAAATGAAGGAAGGAAAGGTTATTTAGCTCACAGTTACTGGAGGGTTCAGTCCATATTCTGCTGGCTCCAAGGCAAACAACAGCAGTTCATGTGGCAGAAAACAGTGATGAGCAGAAGAGGAGCAGCAGCTGCCGCGTGCATCAAGCCTCTCTCTTCCTTCTGCGCTGACTGGGAAGACCAAGACCGGCGCTCCACAGTGAAGATCGGGGCTCCTCCAAAGTGGGGCGGCTGCCAAGCTCAAGCTCCTCGGAAGACTGGGACTTCTCCACGGAAGCAGGGCAGGTGGCAGGAAACCAGGCAGGGCGGCTTCCTGCCTTTCTCAATTCCTGGCCCCTGCCCACCTGCAGGGCGAGGCCCCCATGCTGAGAGCTGCTGGAGCTGATTCAACCAAGTTGACACAATGTATCAACTAACACAAGGAGGATCACTAAGAGTCTGATCTGTGTTGTGAGACCCTGCAGATCCTGTACTAAATACATTTTTTTAAAAAGTCTCTATCTGCTTTCTCCTCTGTGACATGGGTAATGGTGGGACCTACTGCAGGGAGTCTCAAGAGGCAAGTGAGAGGCCATTGGCCCCACATCTCCTGCAGGCAGCTTCCTAGACTACTCAGACTGCAAGGTGGGGCTGCAGGGCCACCTCCAGCCCCCAGCCTGCTACCTCCTCTGGGGCTGAGGGTTCCCTTTCCCTTGTGCTTCTTAGTGCTCTGGGCCCCCAAGTGTAGAGCAAGTCAGGAATTCAAGTGGCAGGATCGGGGCTCACAGCCAGTCAGGCACACAAATGTCCCTACCACCTCCAGGGATGGTGCCCTTGGCCCCAAGCTGGGGTGTTATCTGCCAGAAAAGAGCAGCCTCCAGTGGTGGCCTCAGGATGCCAGGTTTCTGATCCCTGGGAGCCCAGCTAGGTGGGTGTCTGCATCCTGGGAGCTGGACTCCTGCAGGCCCTACCCACCCTCCTGGCCACCTCGGGGCTGCCGAAGTCCCTGGGGAGCATCTGTGGGTTGCTGCCTGTGCAAGGCCCAGCCAAGGCTCCCACGGAGGGACACAGCCCATTGCCCCTTCTGATCTGTGTTTGAGGATTCTCAGGAAGGCCTCAACGCCCAGGCTACTGCACCAACAAGATTGTTACCCAGCACCCAGCTCAGGGTCTGTCCCTGGCCATCTCTGTTGTGGCCTGAAGCTCTACTCCAGACCCTCAGGGATTCTGAGCACTCCTCTGAGAGAGACTGTGGCAGCCTGGGTAGTGAGCCTCTCAGGCTTTCTTCTCTCTGGCATAGATTCTCTTTTACGCTTTGTTTTTGGGGAGCAGGTTCCAGGACTCAAACTCAGGACCTCAAACTTGCCAGGCAGGCACTGTGTCTTTGAGCTAAAGCCCCAGCCCCTGGCTTAGGTCCTCATACTTACTGTTTCCTCTCACACCTCTCACTGAAGACCTAGTCTTTCAGTAGTTTGGTGTTCAGTAATTTGAAAATGATTGTGAAAATCATTTGGTCTGTTCTGGCATGGTGGCACAGGCCTCTAATCTGAGCATTCAGTAAGTAGAAATAAAGGATTTGCCAGTTCATGGCCAACTTGGACTACGTAAGACCCTCTCTCACAAAAAGTACATACATATATGTGGTCATCACTGTACCATTGGCTTTTCACCCTTCTGCCTGTGTGGCTTCTGCATAAGTCTCAGAACTTCTACGTCCCCCACAGAAGAAGGCTCAGAGTTCAGTCCCTCTGCCAGAGATCTGTGCAGCTCAGTTCAGTTCCACTTGCTTTCTCTTCCTTTGACAATAGTTGAGCATCAAATGCTTCTCCAGTTCTGACAAGGTACAAAAGCCACTTGGCTGAAGGATGGTGCCTTCTGGTGCTATGGGCCACATCCCCTCATCCCAGTGGCATTCTGTGACAGACCTAACTTCTTGGGACGTCTCTACCCTGCAGCGGGGCCAGTGCATTCCCAGGGCACCAGAGCAGGGAGCAGCTCGCTCATCAGGTGTTTGTAGCCAGATGACATAGGGCGTGGTGGGCCTTACAGAGCACCTGACAGGCTGTGTTCCTTGTGCCAGGCCTCTTCCAGGTGGACACTCAGGGGCCCAGAGTGGGGAACTCAGGCCCCAGAGCTACAGGTTAGACTTGGGGCTGTGTCTGCTGCTCCCCCTCTGGCCACTAGAGAGAGCAGGCCATGTAGCTGTGCTGTCTTGGATGAGGGGCTTGCCATCTTCAAGAAACCGCTGAAGACCATGCACGCAGGTACATACTTGTAGCTCTTGCTACTCTGGGGCTAATGCAGGAAGGTTGCTTCAGCCCAGGAGTTCAAGACCAACCTGGGTATGTAACATGAGATTCTGTCTCAAAAAATCCATTAAAGACATGAGAACACCTACCTGCTTGACTGGCTTTTCTGCCTGATTTTTTTTTTTCCCCTGTCCTAGGAAGAACCTCTTTTTTTTTTTTTTTTTTTTTTTTTAAATTAATCTCCACCCTGCCAGGCTGGCCCAGCCCCCGGGGTGTGCTGACTAGGTAATTGTGACTGGGTGTGGTGGCACATGCCTGTAATCCCAGCTTGTGGGAGGCTGGAAACAGGAGGATCATTGAGTCTGATCTAGTATTGAGACCCTGAACACCCTGTAGACCTTTCCCTAAAAAATGTCAAAAATCAATCAATCAATCTCCCCAACTGTGGAAACCCTCCAGCCTACAGAAGCTGTCCCCTTCCATATCCTCTCTTCCTCTTCTAAGTGGCTTTTTCACTTCTGCTTTTCCCACTCATAACTGGCCTACATATGGCTTCAGTTTGCTATGACACTATTTTGAAGCCACCTAGGTGTTTGTGTATTGGTGTCCCTAGCAGCCACAAGGGCGTTCGTTGGCCAGGAAAGGACCATAGCCAGGTCACTTTACCCACCCCAGGTTCCAGCTGAACTCAGCATTTCCTGTTTGTGGAGACTTTAGGGGAGGGTACTCTGATACTTGAATCTTCAGAGAACATCAGTGTAATAGGTCAGTATATCCTGAAGCTGTGAAGAAAACGAGAGCGGAACCAAAACCCTTTAAGCTGTCCCCTTCCGTATCCTCTCCTCTTCCACCTCTAAGCAGCTCCTTCACTTCTGCTTTTCCTACTCATAACTGGCCTACATATGGCTTCAATTTGCTATGACACTGTTTTGAATCCACAGCATCCTTATTTTTTTCATTTCTACTGGTAAAGTCTCTCTCTGTGTTTTACACCAACTCTTAGTACATGACCAGCCTAGGGACAGGCTGCCCTTGGATCAGTGTCCATTGTAACCCAATTGGCTGGGAGCTCATGGGTTATATGGTTCCAATCTGGGTTGCTTAAGTAGGCCAGTCCACAGTAGAGGGGTTGTTGGTATCCTGAGGGGCTGGAGTTACTCATGACAGGAATTCAGAGCCATCAAGTTAGTTGCTCTCAGCGAAGAACTGGGGATGAATCACATTGGAGGAAGATATTACACAAAAGAAAAAGATTTTATTGGTAGTATGCCCTGGATGAGGGATACAGCATTTGACTGTGTTCACATTGTACCAAGACCTTCAAAACTTGATTCAAAGCCTGACTGGCCCAGACTTCAGGCCAGCCAGCCGCCCTCCCCTGGGCCCCTGCTACCTTGGCAGATACACATATCTTAATTTTCAGGATGCTCAGCTGGGGCATCTGAGTGGCCCCCTCCCATACAGACCTTGTAAAACTGCTATTCAGGGCAACTCTGTAGTTTGAGGCAAAACCCAGAGCCAAATTAGGGCTTCTAAGCCCCCTGCCTGGGCCACCTCCCTGGAACATTTGGGCTTGTCACAGATTCCTGGAGGGAGCAGCAGCACAGCTGCAGCTACAGCTGCCAGGAACTGGCTTGCTTTTGCCCTGTGTGGGGGGGAGGGCAGAGGCTGCTGGGTTTTCTACAGGGCCCCTGCCTGAGCTCACTCCATCCCCATACTACTGATTTCATCCACCCAAGGCCGCCTGGCCCAGAGCCCAGGCATTGTGGGGGCTCCCTCCCAGATCAGGCTGGCCACTCAGCAAGGGCGGGAAAGGCATTTCAGGCTTATCAGAACTCCCCAGTAGAACTCCCACACTGAGCTCTGAAATGAAGAAAGGTTCAAGAAAAAAGGGTGTGTGGGGTGGCAAGGGTGGTGCTGGTACTAGGTTGGTACTTAAAGGCTGAAAAAAACAAGAAAGTAGAGCTATTTTCTCCATTTGTTCTTTGGCAATCCCATCAGGGGATCTCAGGAGGCACGCAGGATGACATCATGTCTTACAACTGAGAAATCTCAATGATTCTATGAAATGGAGCCCTGGGCTGCTCCATTTTTTTTTTTTTTTTTTATGCCAGCTGCTTTATATTATGTTTAAAGCTATGTCACACTGAAATGAGGGTTAAATATTCAAATGTTTAGCAAAAGTAGATACAATGCATGAAGATCACATAAATTCACACCTTGCGATCACAGCTGTTTGGAATACGAAATGTCCAAGGATGAGTATTAGAAGTAAAAAAGGTACAAAAGAAGAATGCTTTTAAAAATAATTAAAAAATTTAAAAACTGATACCCTCCCCAAATCCAAATAACTGTGGTCTGGATAACCCTCCGGGTAGAGGCTTCAGATGCTAGTCATTCCTTTAATATCGAGCTGCATGCCCAGTGTGTGCACGGGAGACGCCCACACGTACACACACGCAGGCACATACATCCGCGGGGACAGACACGTGGCTGGGCTCTCACTGTTCTCGGGCACTTCTGCTCCATGGTCGCAGTCTCGCACCTTCCTGTTATGTTTGACAAGTTACTTCTTTGGAGGCAGAACATTTTCTTCAAAGAAGCCCTGGTTGACAACATTCCCTGCTGGAAAGTATCTAGCCACCACAAAGGAGGACCCGTCACTCGCAGATGCCTTCCCCACCCCCATCTTCTTTGTATTCTTCCACACCATGGCTGTGAAGTGTCCTATAAGAAACAGGCAGAGGGAGAGAGGGCAGCAGATGAGTTACTAGACACTCAAGAGAGATGCCATGATTGATTCTTAAACCCATTCAGCCAGGCTTGGCAGGTTGGTCTTAGCAGATACTAATCAGAGGATGAAGGGGGCAAACACATCAACTGCTTTGTTGCTTTTTGAAACAAGGTCTCACCATGTAGTCCAGGTTAGCTGGCCTTGAATTGATGATGTAGCCCTGGTTGGCCTCAAACTCTCAGTGGTCTTTCTGCCTCAGTCCCTAAAGTGCTGAGATTACAGGTATGTATAATCCCAGGTATGTATAGTTGACACATGGCTCAACCATCTGATTTTGTGTATGTGTGTATGATGCTAGGGATTCCCAGGATCTCTGCACTGAGCTGCATCTCCAGCCCTTTTAAAATTTTGAGACAGTGTCTTGCTAACTCATTAAATTGCCCAAGCTGGGCTCAAACCTTTGATCCTCCTTCCTTTGCACCCCAGGAATTGGGATTATATGAATGCATCACCACAACTGGTGTCCACAGTCAGATTTTTAAAGCAGGTCCTTTCAACTGGCCACAGCCACCTCAACACTTTCCAGTGGTCTCCAGAGATCACTGCAAAGCCTACCGACCCCAACATTAGGATGCTACCTTCCCTGTACTTGCTTATATCCTAAACTGCAGTCTGTGCAATAATCTCCACATTATTCTTCGATGGTCACATATTTTTTCTTCCATTGTTAGGGATTGAACCAAGGATATTCACAAGGAGGTACATCCCTACCCCTTTTTAAATTTTAAGGTAGTCTTGCTCAACTGCCTAGTGGAGGCTCAGACTTGCAGTTCTCCTGCGTTGGCCTCCCAGGCTGCCAGGATTACAGATGTGCAACGCTATACCCAGGGGTCATTTTTTGTCTTCATCTTACTTGACACCCACTCCCATCCCTTTTCAAAGACCTGTGTCATGGGCTATTGACATCCCTTTGTCTCACTGCTGCCTCCACAGCCACTCCCCCCGTAATGTTGGAGAACCTCTGTTTCCTCAGTCCTGGTCTCATTTCTGTCTACATTCTTGTTTAGGTCAGTTTATTTTCCCCTGGCTCCCAGATTTATTTCTCCAAGTCAGACCTCCAGTCTGTGTTCCAGGCAGAATGGCTCACTGGATTTTTCCACTTGGATGACTCACTGGTACCTCAGCTGCAATCCATCTAAGACTAATACACAACTTTGGTCCCCTCAGATTAACTCCTCTTTCAACCCTCCCTCTTGTGTCAGCAGCACCTTGGTGCACTCATTCATGGAGCCGAGCTGCATCCTCCCTTTCCCGGACATTCTCCTCAGCAACCCAACACTCAGCCCTAAAAAATTCAACTTAAAAGGCCATCTCTAATCTTTCTCCTCCTAACTCCTCGGTCCCAACAGCAAAGTTTTCTCTTTTGGGACTGCTGTAAGAACTGCCTGGGAGGTAGTCGATGCCCACTGTGGCTCCCTCCAGCTCATTTTGCACTTAACTAAGCCAGAGTTACCATTTCGAGAACATGAATCACATCCACTGACTTCCCTGCTTTTCTTTCATAAAAATCCTTCACACACTTCCAACTGTACCTAGAATGAAAGTGAATACTTTGGCCTGGTGGCCTCTTTTCCATTCATTAAATATGGTGATGCATACCTATAATCCCAGCACTCAAGGGGCTGGGGCAGGAGGATGTGAATTTGAGGCCAGCCTGGGTTATATAGTAAGACCTTGTACCAAAAACAAAAACAGGGCCAGGGAGATAGCTCAGTGGACTGAGAGCCTGCTTAGGCAAGCCCAGAGCCCAGGGTTCGATCTCTGGCACTACATGCTGTGCCAGCCCAATCCCTGGGCGTGCTAAGCCGGCCACTGAGACTGGGCATGGTGGCACATCCTTGTAATCCCATTGCCAGGAGGCTCGAAAACAGGAGGATCACTATGAGCCTGAGCTGCAAAGTGAGATCCTGTACAAAACACATTTTTTTAAAAAGACACCTTCCCCCTGCAAAAAAGCCCCAAAACACTAGGCTGCTTCCCCCAGAAGCAACACACTGGTCTCTATGGAAAACTCATGCGGTGACCAGTCATTTCTTGTTCCTTAGGACTCAGGCTAAAACTAGCACTTGTTCAAAGAAGCCTTTTTAATCAACCTTGTATTTACTGAACCCCTCTCACATTTAGATAACTGTTGTTTCTAGACAGTGGTTCGGCTACTAGGAAAGACACAATGGCAGAACCTTAATATTAACCCAGCATCCAGCAATTCCATTTCTCTCTCTCTCTCTCTCTCTCTCTCTCTCTCTCTCTCTCTCTCTCTCTCTCTCCTTTTGGTGGTGATGGTGGTGCCAGGGATCGAACTCAGGACCTTGTGCTTGCCAGGCAAGCACTAACTCCACTGAGCTGTCTCCCCAGCCCCAGCAGTTCCATTTCTAGGTATTAGAGTACAGCAACGAGTACCAGTGTTAGGAGGCATAAACAGTTTTGTTTAAGAGGTGCAGAGTTTCAATTTGTAAAAAAAGAGCTGGCCACAGTGGTACACACTTGTAATGCCAGAACCCTGGGAAGGTAAGGCCAGCAGATGGCAACTCTGAGCTCAACCTCAGTGTAAGACCCTGTCTCAAAATAAAAAGTAAAAAAAGGCTGAAGATGTAGCTTGGTGGAAAGTACCTGGGTTTAATCCCCAGTTTAAAAAATTCTTAGAAAAGATTCTGAGGATTAATGGTTGCAAAGCATGTGTATTACTTAATGCCACTCAGTTGTACACATAAAAATGGTTAAAATGATAAGTTTGTACTAAGTATATTTTACTATAAAATTAAAGAGAGATGGTTGTCTTGATTGGCAAGTTAACTGGACCAAGAGATGTCTAGGAAATTAGTAAAGCACTGCTCTGGGTGTGTCTGTGAGGCTATTTCCAGAGATGGTTGAGATGGCACAGTGAGCAAGGAGACAAGCCCCAAATGTGGGTGGCAGTGTCCAAAAGGGTGGGGCTCAGACAAAAAAAATCGAAAGAAAGAGGAAGCCAGCCAGCACAACCTCTTTCTGTTTTCTGGACACTGAAAAGATCAGCTTTCTTCTGCTACACCCCTTCCCCTTTCATCTGCCATACCTCTTCCCCTCCATGATGTTTTCCCATGATGCTTTGTACAAGCCTAACAGGGATGGAGTCAGCTGACCTTGGATTGAAACCTCTGAATCTATGAGCCAAAAAAAATCTTTTTTCCTTTAAGATTGACAGTTCAAGTGCAGCCTGTGTCACATAGTGAGACCTTGTCTCAAAATTAAAAGGGGGATGGAATGGGAGATGTAGCTCACTATGTAGAACCTGGGCTCAACCCCCAGTACTGCAAAACAAAAACAAAAGCAGCCAAACAGAAGTGCTAATTCATATCAACAATATGATACAATTGAAGCAGGAATGAAAATAAACCCTAAGTACAATTGCACATTCTTATCACTGAACTCTGAGGGACCTCTGTTCAGTAAACTCTGGCTTCCCACTGTGAACAGAAGAAAACTCCTTGCCTGTTCACCTTCGGTCCTTAACCCTGCTGACCACAGCTGCAGACACTGGCAGCTTAGCCTGGTGGGACTGCCTCTCCGGGCTGCCTCTTGGCCAAGGCTCAAGCTTTCTTTCCCACAGGCCTTCATGGGGGGTGGGGTGGGGCCCATACATCTGAGCATTAACCATCCCCTCTCTCGGTCTCTCAGAGAAACATGAAGCCTCCATTTAACTGATTAGATCCAAGTGCGTGTCAGCAGCATAAATGCTGGTGGCAGCTTTTTCCAAATAAATTTGACTAAGTAATCTTTCTTCTTGCTGGGGAGGTTTCTATCTGCACAGAGACAATTAAATTAGGGCCATTTAAAGATTAATTAAAGGATACATCTCCCTTGGCGACCATCAGAAACACACTGGTTTCTAACTCTAGTTTTCTAACAGCGCCTTTTTCTTTTCTGGAAGGATCACATCCTCTTTCTTGGTATGAATCCAAATTCCCAGAATATGCCTTTGAAAGCACACTGTATAAGTCACGGTACACCCTTGCAGAGGAATAGTGTGTACTGATTGTCAACGCTCTCTCTTACTGATAGGGAACAATTTCTGACAAGTGTGAAACAGGTCATATACTCTGACACTAGAGCATACAAGAGGGGAAAAGGGAATATATACACACCCATGCTGACATAAGCTTAGATAACTAGAATAAAGGGGTAGGCATGAGCCATGAATATAATCCTAGCACTCAGGAGGCTGAAGTAAGAGGACTGAAAGTATGAGGTCACTCTGTTATACGGCAAGACACTGTCTCAAAACACAAACAAACAAACAAATGGTATACAAGAAACTGCCAGGTTGGGCATGGTACCACATGCCTGCAATTCCAGCATCCAGGAGGCTGAGGCAGGAGGTTCACTGTGAGTTCGAGATCAGCCTGGACTACACAGTGAGTTCAAGGCCAGCCTGAATTGCATAGTGAGACTCTGTCTCAAGAGAAAAAAAAAGAAAAAAAGAAAAAAAAGAAAGAAAGGAAGGAAGGAAACTGTTCTTCCTGGTTACCTCTTGGAAGGAAAGTATAAAGAAGTCAGAACTTATGAGGCTCATTCTGTACTGTTTTCAAATTCCATATCATTGAAAAAGATTACTCATTCAGAATAAATGAACAAACCTGCTTGTTTAAACAGAATATGATGAAGTAAGCATTGGACATGTTTTTCTTCACACCACACAGAGTGGGGCTCAGGGTTCATCGTAAGACACTGGGCGAGTGGACTGAGGGTGCAGATACATTTAGGGTATCTCAAAGACTTTTCATCCTCCAAACAGACTCAGGGAAGAAAACCCTAAACAATGGTGCAGAGGCAGGTTGAGGTAGGATGGGCCTGAGGCTCTTGGGCTCAGGCTCTATCCATCCCCAGCACTGCCCACTGGTGCCTGGAATGGCCACAGGCTGGCTCTCTGGGGCTTTCCCCTTTAGGGAGGAAAGGTGCAGGAGGACAGGCAGTGGTCATGGGGATGTGAGCCCCATTCCCAGCTCTGACTCTTGCATACTTCCTGCCTTGAAGCAGGGGTCACAGAAGAGGCACGGGATTAAGGACCATGGGCCTAAGAACAGCCTCTTGCCCCTTATAGGCCTCCCAGTCCTCTTCTGCAAAACAGCAGAAGGCAGCCCTGCTCTGAAGTAGTGTGCGTGAGGCTGGCGCCTGGCGGCTGTGGAGGCTTCATTACTGCCCAGCTGTGCACAGTAGAAACAGCTCCGAGAACTTGCTCCCACTCATGTCTGATTGCTCAAGAATCTGATTCGTAGGAAAAGTAATTCCAGAAGCTATGAAATAAAACCTCTCTGGGTCTGTATCAAAAGAAGATGAGGCTCAGCCTGCACAGCCTTAACCACAGCTCCCTCCTCCATCAGGGTGGGGTGGGGGTGCTGCAGAGTCCTAGCCACATATTGCAAGAACTCCTACTCTGAAAGAGGGAGCAGCCAACCACAGGAAACTGTGACTGGCTCTAAAAAGTGTCACTTCCTGCCTCTGAAGAAACGCTTCTGAGGGTAGGAGGCTCTACCTGTGGGTGGAGGGGATGGTGAGGCCAACAGTTCCCTGGTGCCTTCCGACTCGATGCATAGTCCCTCTGACCCCATCTTGGGACCAGGCAGAGTCTAAGTCTGTTCTGAGGTGGGAGAGGCACCTAGTAAGGTCAGCAAATGGCAAGAGGAAGCCCACAACACAGAACAGCTACCTGGGACTTTATTTTTATTCACTAATTATGGTTGTGGAGATTGAACTCAGGGCCTTTACATGATCTGCATCACCAGCCCTTTTTCAGTCTGAGACAGTCTTGCTAAACCACAAAGTTTCCCAGGTGAGGCTCAAACTTGGGATCCTCCTGCCTCGGTCTCCCACTGTGCTAGGATTACAGGAATGTGCTACAACACCTGCCTTGCCCAGGATGTTACTAAGCCAAAGTTTATCACCCTCCCTTAAAGAGGCCCATTGGAAAAATAACTGTCCTCACGAAGGCACCTCCCTGCATCTCAATCATTGGCTCTGAGAATACCCCTCAGAAATCACCACTGTGACCATCTCCCTTGGACAAGGGAGGTGCTGGGGAAAGGAGAACTTCACCCCTGCCACACACAGACACCCAGCCTGCACCCTGCCCAGGCCACTGGCTGCCCCGCCACTCACCGGTCCCTGAGGTGAAGCCAGGCTGCTGGAAGTTGTAGTTCTTGATTTCACTGTACCATCTATCGGCCACCTCCTTTCCTGTATGAAAAAAATCACTCAGCAACAAAATCCACCCACTCTGCAATCCTCCATCTTCTTCATAGACCCACACCACCTTCCCAATAGTGGTCTGATAGAGCCCCTCCTGAAGACTTTTGTGCCCAAGGCATATCCAGACTGAAGAGTGAGCCCCAGTGGAAGCTCGAAAGAACTTTGCCCTGGGTTCTAACCAGAACTTTGCTCTGGGCTCTAACTGTCTGGGAGCAGGGAGACTGTAGCAGGGGGCCTGCCCTCTGCAGTCAACAAGAAATCTGAATACATGTTTAGGGTTTCTGGGAGACTCCTTCACTCCACCCCTTGTCTGGCTCAAGAAATGCCCACTGGAAGAAAGATGACTGGGCTAGTAGCACAGAGGTATCCACTGCACCAGAGAATGCTGCCTGGGGCATCCACTGCCCCGCAGCTGGTGGCAGGAGGAGGCACTTGCTGGGTTGCAGGCCCAGAAAGGAGCTCAAGGACAGGGCAGGAAGTCTTAAGCTTTCCTGTGGCCAGGAATCATAGGGGATCTTGTTGAAACATAGTGTTCAATTTCAGGAGATCTGAGTAGCCCATGCTTCTGCTTTTCTAACAAATAGCTGCTGCTGCTGCTGCTGCTGTTGGTTCACAAGTCATACACTAACCTGCCTTTAGGACCATTTTCAAAACTGGGGCATGGGTCCTTCTTCAGACTGGTTGTCATGGTGTCTCCGAAAGAGAGACTCAGACATTGGTATTTTCTAGCAGAGGTGGGGAACCAGGGCCATAGAGGGGAGTGACTTGATCAAAGTGCCGCGGGGACCTAGCACAAGGTGGGGAAGAAACTGCACCTCCTGACTGCCTGCTTAAGGCTCTTTCCATCAGGCGGTCGTCCCAGAGTGGAACCTCAGAGCAGAGACAGCAGGCTCGGCTTCTCCAGGAGCAGGCACACAGCCCCCACTCCCAGGCCTGGCTCAGCTGTTGGAGGGGGAGGGGGCCTAGGGGCCAAGAGGCCCCAGGGGCTCCCCGGGGATCTCCCAGGAATGTGAGGGCTGGGGAGAGAGTGAGTCATCCTCCAGAGGGGGTTTGGAGAAAACCTCAGGGATCAGACAACCTTCTCTGATATCTTTCCTAAAAAGCCATTTCTGGCTGGAGGAACAGAAAGATCAAGAATGTTTGGTCAGCGTGAAGGGATCTTTCTATACTGAGACCGACAGGAGGGCTGTTGTTCCCATTGTTTTCTTTTTTTCCCTCAAATGGAAAAAAGCACTATCACTTTTCTCTGATTATAAACGTAATATATGTAAGCTCTGTAAGAAAATTAGAAAGCGGAAGACAGTAAGATTTCTCAATAGCTGGGAATGCTTTGGCATCAGCAGAATCAGGCTGAGATACTGTCCAGAAACTGTCCTCTCCTTCCCCCACTCCTCAGCCTGGGAGCTTCCACAGGGGAGGCCGTCAGCGTGACTCATCTCTGTGTCCCTGGCTCCGAGGCCAATTGGCCAGAGCCAGCCCTCAGGGATGCTGTAGAGCCTGAGTCAGCCTTGGGGCACAGGCGGAGAACCGCGGGTTTCCTTTCCCTCCTGGGTCTGCAGCTGGACCACGTGTAAACCCCAAAAGGTGCTGAGGAGGCCCTAGCTTAGGCTCAGCTCCTACAGCTGTGAGAGGACCAAGGAAGCGACCCACCTGTCTGATCGTAGGACGCCCACGCGAGGTTCTCCCCACACTGGCCACGACTGGACTCTGGGCTGTGCTTGAGGATCCTCGTGCTGGCCAGGGCTTCAGAATACCTGCCGGAATCCATGGGGTTTCCTCAGCGGTGGCACAGCCAGGGGACACCCCACACTGTGTCTGGGCTCCAGGCTGGTGTGACTGAGCTCCCCCTCAACTACCACCGCCAGAGCTTGCAGGGGGCATAGGGAGCATCACACAGTCACACCTTCTGGCTTCCCAACACTCCACTATTTTCCAGAGGAGCAAATTGAGGCTCAGAGGAGCAGTGGGGCTTGCCTGGGTAAGTGGCAGAGTGATATTTAAACGAGGGTCTAGCTGACCCTGAAACCCACAGCCCTCCAGCCACCCCGGGCGCCAAAGTGACTGGAGCAGCAGCTCCGTGAAGGGCCTGAGCCTGGGCTCTGAGAACTCACTGCTGGGCCTCTCGGTTGAGCTTCTGGCAGAGCTTGAGTGGGGGGACGCCGTGCTGCTGTCGGTACTCATTGTGGGCCTTCAGGACCTCATTGTTAAACTGTTTGGAAGCTGGAATGAGAGAATGGCTCAGGGTGGAGCAAAGAACTCACCAACAGTGCAAGGCGTACTTCAGAGCAGCACCTAGCTCATCCTCAGGTCACACAGACAGACTACAAATGGCCTGGCTCATCACCACTGCTCTTCCTGTCCTTTCCCTCCATGCCCCTGTAGGTCTAAACCAATGGACTCTGTGTGGCCCCTGGGCCATATTAGGGCTTCGGGTCTTGATCCAAGGCAACAGGAAGGCACTGGGCAAGAGCAGGGGAGGGAGCTGACTGGACTGCAGCACAGATGTTGAGAAGCTGGACGGTCAGCAACAGAGCTGTTGAAAGAGAAAGTCAGAAGGAGCCTGGATTCCTCAGGCGAGGCATATGGGCGGCTGGCAGAGGCTGCAGTTAGGAGTCCAGACAGAAGCAGCCTAGCTGGGATGGAAGGCATCTTGAAATCAAGACAGAAGGATAAAGAGAACGAAGCTAGGCGCAGTGGCACACAACTGTGGTCCTTTTGACGTGGGAGGCTGTGGCCTTGAGAGTCACTTGAGCCCAACAGTTTGTAGCCAGATTGGGTGATATGGAGAGACTCCATCTCAGAGAAGTAAAGGAAAAGATGACAAGAGAAAGTAGCATTTAGGAAATGGAACAGGGGAGTGTAGAAAGGTGACACAGTGAAGAGAGGATGTGACTGGTTGCATCTGGCACCACAGTGCGGAAAGAGGTGGGCAGTGCAGAAAGAGGTGGGGCCTGTGGCTAGTTCGGGAGGACCTCAGAAAATGTAAGGTCTAGGATCTGGGATGCAAGGGGAAATAAGTGGGTGAAGACAAGGACAGGCAACATCAACAGTGGACACTGAAATATCTGGATCTAAAATGGAACTGCAGGAGCTGAGGATTTTGCTCAGCTTGCCAAGCTAGCTGGAAGACCTGGGTTCGGTCCTCAGCACCAAAACCAAAAAATAAACCTCTCCTAAAAAAACAACTGAACCAAAACAAAACAAAATCCCTAAAACCAAAAAACAATAAAATAAAAAAGACCCCCCCAAAAAAACACCAAACAAACAAGGCAACTAAAATGGAACTACAACCAATGAATAGCTTCTATGTTTCCATCCAACACCCATACCAAACCATCCATCCATCCATCCATCCATCCAAACCTCCACTGTTCACCCCATACTCATTTATATATCAATTCATCCTTTGTTCAGCAGCAGCACCTATCCATCCACCATCCATTTGACCCCAGCCCATTTATCTGTTCTGTTCTTGGAGTACCTCCTACATGCCAGGTCTCATGCTGTGCTAGGGATCAGAGATAAATCAGCCATGTCTGGCCCTTAAATACCCTCACAGGAGGAAGATGACCTTGTAAACATATGATCAAAGTGTGACAGGTGAAAGGAAAAGCCAGTGGACATCTTCCAATGTGTTTCAACCCTAACTCACACCCCTAAGTGCCCTGTGATTAAGAAGCCCACTAAATCTGTCTATTGTACAAACTATTCCAGATCACGGATGTTCCACCTCTTGAATAGAAAACCTTGCACACACATAAGCTGGACAAGTGACCATAGAGTAAAAGACCTGATCCTGAGCATAGAAAGACCTTGAGTTCCTCATTCCCTTGAACACCTTATAAACACTTACTCTGTAAGCATTTTTGGCATTTCAGAGCCAATGTCCCCTCTCGGGTCTTTATCTTAAATAAAGGCTGTCTTTGCTGCAATTTTTGCTTTTTCCTTTTATTTCTTACTACAGGTACCACAATGCAAATAACCATTGGTGTAAGAGGAACTTGAAGAGCCACCTGGAAGGCCTGGGGGTCAATGAAGGTGAAGACCCCTGATTTGAGGCCAAAAAGATGTCTGAACTACAGCCAACCAGTGAAGGCACTAGGTACCATGCATTAAGTACTTCTTATGTGTCTCTTCTGGGGAAAAATGAATGAGTAGGGGTGGATTACAGGACTGGTCCCTCTTTGTGGTCTGGCTGTGGGTGGTAGCAGGAAGGCTGTCAATCAGAGCATCAAGGAAGTGCCACATGCCTTCCTCTGCTCTAGGTTACATCTGCCAGAACTCTGTCTCTGTTGCCTCTTCACCCAACACTGAGGACAGATGGTCCAAAGGGAGTTCTCCTTCTCTATCCTTTGGCCAGAGATGGATCTTCAAGGCAAACCTCATGGGGCCTCTGAGGGGAGAAGACCCAGGGCTGGCCCTCAGGAACTTGGAGCTAGCTACAGACATGTGGAGGTGAAGAGCTGCACCTCCTTCCTGTGGATACACAAAGACTTTCTAGTCAATCAGAGGAAGTGGCCTGAGCAGACTCTGGGGCCTAGGGTGACTACACAGGAATGTGGGTAGGACAGCTATGACAGGGAAGGGCCCTGACTTGGGACCTCCAAGGTTTAGCTGACAGGTAGAGATGGAGGACAAAAGGAACAGGATGAAGTAAAGACCAAGGGAACCAGTGACCAGGCATAAGTAGGAGGTGGAACTACAACCTGAAGCCCTCAGGTCTTTGGGGCCAGAGGGGGGCCTCACCCTTGTTGACAGAAAAGACAAAGATTTCAGGTCTCCTAGGGCAACAGGAGAAGGAGAGATGTTTAATGAGTATAGAGTTGCAGCTTTTCAAGATTAAGAAAGTCCTGGGTTTGTTTCACAGCAATGTGAAACCACTGCTAAGATGGTAACTTTGTTATGCTTTTCTGGGGAAGTGGGGGAGCCAGAACAACTCATGGGAGTGAGGGGCTCATGGACAGTAAGAGGAGGAGACAGCAGGGTGGTGTGGTGGCCAGAAACCACTGGTTCTGGAGCGATGGTCAGTTTCACCCGACCAGGCCCTGGCCTTGTCTGGTAAGAGGCAAGCATCTGATGTGTTCAAGGGCTGGGCTTGTGAGGATTGGTTGTTAGTTCTTGGTGTATTCACCCTGGAGAACTAGACTCCAGGAGACATCTTGGGGGGCTCCTCGTGAATTGGGACCCCAGTAGGGCAAAGCTAGGGTCAGTGGTAGAAAGAACAGGATAAAGATTTCAGCTTACATTAAGACCTTTCTCTTAGCAAAATTTTCTGAAGCTGGGAAAGAGGTACCTTACAAGTGCTGAGCTCTCTAGCACTGGGGGTATGCAAGCAGGTAAGCATTCCCCAGAGGGATTCAGGGCCTCAGTGGAGACTCAGATGACCTTCAGGTCCCTTTCAAAGCTGTGGTCTCATTGGGGAGGGGTGAGAGGAGACACAAATTCAGATTTTTAGGAGCTTCCTGAGCTTCTTTAAGGAGCCAGAGTGATCAAAGCAAGCACGTGTGTTCAGGCAAGGCTTGCGTGGGCAGGTGCACATGGTCAAGGTAATGAGGAGTGACAGGCATGGCCAGGCCTGACCCAGCCTAATGTCCTTTCCAGTTTCCACGAGCTGTAAATTCTACAGCCTCCTTGGCAGAGGGACATACAAGGCCACTGAAAACTAGGTCACTGCATTCTCAGAGTGAGGGAAGTTAGAAGAAACAAAAGTGAAAGTTCCAGTGCCCAATCCAAGCTCAGTGCCCAGGAGTCCAAGTCAGGTGCTATTCCCAGCAGAGCAAGGATCCCGGGGCCAGGAGGTCTCAGTAAGGAGTCTGCTCCCACCTTGGCTGGAAGCATGGGGCCCCACAAACACCCTTCAAGTAGCCACAAGAGTTCCCTCCTACCCCAGCAAACAGTCCCAGTCCAGGTGGCTCCTCTGAGCAGGCAAGTTATCAGTGGTGACCACACCCTGCAAGAGCCACAGCCCCTTCTGCTCAAAAACCTAAGATTGCAGATAAACAGGGAAATGTCAAAGAAGAACCACCCATCCCCAGTCAGGCAGGGAGAGAGAGCTCCCAGCCACCTCAAGATGGGGGAGGTGCAGGGATCCACCCTCATTTTATAGGAAAGTAAACTGAGGCTCAGAAATGTCACACAGCCTCAGAGTGCCAGCCCAGAAGTCAGGAGAGACAGGCCCACCCACCCAGTGCTCAGGCTATCTCCTGCTTACTGGCCAGTGGTCTCTGGGTGCTGGCCTGTGTGTGCCCTCAACTTCTCACTACCTTCATGGAAGCGTCCAGTGCAGTATCCATCTTTATGACTAGGAAACTGAAGTTTGAGAAGGGAAGTAAGCCATACAAGTCCCCCAAATAGTCTGGGGTCCGTTGTAAGGGCATGAGGGCCTGTTTTGAGACCCCACTCCACAGCCCATAGGTCACAAGACAAAGGGAATGCCGGATGGGTCACCTAGGAAATGGATCCAGCTAAATGGGACAAGCTGAGGAGTGCAACAGAAGGAAAGAGACCCCAGGTTGGCAGCTGCTTTTTGATTTCTTAAAGGAAAGAAAAGAAGAAGAGAAAAGAACTAGGATTTCTCAAGAGCTTCCTTTGTGTCAAGTCCCTGAAAGGCCCCAGCAAGCTGCACACCATGTGGCTGCTTTGACTGGGGCTGCTGGGGGTGGCAGGGACTGCCTGGAATTGAGGGACAGGAAGGGCAGCCATTTGCTCTGGTGCAGAGTGCAGGAATCCAGATGCAGCTCTTCAGGGACCTCTAACAGTCCTTTGGGGACACAGCCTCTGGAGGCAGAATAAAGATCCTGAGAGAGTCCTTTTGGCAGGGACAGGTTTCTCCCTTAGCACCATCTTCTCAACATTCTGCGGGCTGTCTGACTCCTCAGCCCTCTCCAGATTCCTTATGAAGGAGGCCATGACAGGGGACAGGGCAAGAAATGTAAACAAGCCCCTTCCATCACCTCAGCACGAGGATGAACACCAATCTGGTCCCACCTTCGGGGTAAAGCTGGTTTTGCCTGTTTATCAGGAAGAAGGAGTAAAAAAGTTTCTAAATAGGGAAAACAATAAGAAAGAATTCCAGGCAGGTAGTTCCTGCATCTAAAGCCCAGTATTCTGACAATTCAAGTTGAATCCCCGCTCTGCCTCTTACCTACTGTATGATCTGGCTCATATATACATATATATATAAATAATTTTATTTATTTATTTATTTATTTATTTATTTC